GATCCACAATGTAAAATAAATATTTTTTAAAATTCTCAATTTTAATTTGTAATATAGTAAATATTGATAGATATAACCCACATAAACCAAAGCTCTTTGGGGTCCTCGATCATTTTTAACAATGTAAAGGGGTCTTGAGACCAAAATGTTTGAGAATCACTGCTTTATGGTTAAAAACAGATATTGATGACTATTACTTCAAGATATGGTGTTTGGATACAGGAAGAAATTATATAAATTAAATCAAATAAATAATATACGATTATATTATTATTAAAATACCCCAAATAAACTCAATTTTGTCAAAAAATAGAAGAAGCTGCAAAAATTCAGTAAAGGAAAAGCAAATTAGGGATTTATCATCTATTTCATTTAATACATACTATTCTGCTTTAATGAAATCTGCAGGCAGAGATATTACCAGTATCAGTCAAAGTAAGAGATACTGTAATATGATTAAGGCAATGTTTCTTGTGAATCAAATAGACATAATCCATGCCTTCTGAATGCAGGGATTGGAGCTTAACGTTCCATTTAGTTCTATATTTCTGTAATATTTTGTTGTAATTCCAAATTCAAAACATCAAAATATGTATTTAAATGCAAAATTAGATGGAGATGGTTTTATAATTGCAGATGACTGTAGAGAAGGACAAAATAAACAGATGGGTAAATAATTTGGAAAGTGATATGGACCACAAATATAGTTATTCCTAGAACTTCAGATTTCAGGATCTTCTCGTAGATCCTGAAGACTGATTTGTCATTTATCTGCTAAGATGTTTTCCCCAACCACTTTGAATCTGTATAAATAGCACTTGTACCTTCTGGATCCTTATGTGGTATACAGTAATTATGAAATTTCTCCACACATGATTTTCAAGCCAGTGAAAATACAACCCAGCACCTGTTATTACTGAAATCAGAGGTTAAGATCCAACTATCTTTCCCTCTGTATTCAGCAGGAGGCAGCAAAAATTGTGAGAAGTTGTTAGAACTTTCTGGCCATATGGAATAGGCCAGAAATACCTTAAAGTTACCAGATTGGTAATACAGCTTTGAGATGATTAAAAACAAGTAGTAATTTGTCTCATTTCATTAACAAACCAATTCTAAGTGAATGGGAGAAAGAAGGTTTCTGTAAGAAATGTAGTTGCAAATCTGTGTTTAGAGGTTAATTTGGAAGCACTCAATTGCCTTTAGGGAATTTAGATTTATTTGGTCTGTATGTGATATATTTATATTTCAATATTAAGATTTATTCTTATTCCTGCTTAATGTTAAACTGTTAGATTAAGGCAGTTTATTTACCTTATTTTATTTGATGTTCTATGGATTTTTTATGATTATTTATTGACACTGTAGCTCTGATTAGCAATATTAAGTAGTTTTTAAAAAATTATTATTTATTGCTATTTTTGTCAAATGCTTTGGGTACAACTTTGTGGAAAAACATAATACAAATAAGCAGTTGATGAAAAAAGAAAGGTGAATTCAACTCACATTACTGAAACATTAAATAATAATTAATTAAATAGTATACTGAAGTATTTTATTTTTTATTTCATATATATATGAATGTATATAAATGGTATACAACCTGGCAGGGGAAATACCTTGATTATATAATGCAGATGCTTCTTTAAAAAGAAAAATAAAGTCCAGAATAATTAAGAAAAAGAATAAATGAGATGGACAGGATCTCAAGATACAAGATAAAAAAAGGGACAGGACATAACCTGCTTCTTATAGCTAATGTGCATTCCATTATACACCAATTGTACCTAGAAGTGAAAACTTGCACTTGTGAATAACCATCAGTAATTACAGATAGAATAATATTTTTCATACATGTTTCAATGTTTTCATACATGCTTCATACATATATGTCCAATGGATTCTGTTGACATATTGAGCTCAATTAAAATGTAAGATAATCAAGACAAGAGTTTCAACTTGCATTCAGTTGAACATACATATAAGCCTTCTTGGGCTTGTGAATGATGCTTTATTACATTTTCTGAGGAAGGTGTAAAGAGGACTCTAGATATGGAACATAGGAATATGAAATCATGGATGGAAAACAGCATTCCTTAAAGTTTGCTCAAGGAAGCAGATTGTCAGTAATTCCTTTTAACTTAATATGAGTGGAAGAGCCACTAATATATCAATAAAATAGGATGTATGGAAATTTACCGTCTCATCAGCAATTTTTATGCGGTATTTTTTACAGCAAAACATTTTGGAGATAAGAGACTTAAAGCTTTAAAAAGATCTGTCACATTTATATAGAAAATAATCTATAATGTCAACCCAATTTGAATAGAAAATAAATTCATAGAGGAAAAGCATTCTATTTATATCAAAATAATGTAAGATATGGGAGTGAGGGGTGGAGGTAGAGAAGCAGTTGGATTTCAGCATACAACTGCAAAAGAAAAAAAAATCAATTTAGGGGGATGTGACTGCAGTTGTCTTACCAGGTTTTTAATTATGTGTTTGTTTGCCATGGTGGCCTAATTTACTCAAGTAGATGAGGCAACATTAAAAGCTGGTAGGAGAGGTAAGTAATCCCTTGGGTGGCCAGCTTGCGCATATAGTTTAGAAGGTACAGGCACAGGAGCAGAAAGCTACAGCAAATTTGAGATGGGGGCCTGCATGATAAACAGCAAAAAGCTAGCAAATCAAATTTTTCACAATTAGTTGAACAACAACTGTGACAGGTTTGGCGCTTAGCATTTTCATTTGTGCACTCAAATTTGGTTATCTGTCCTCTTTTATGCAAATGTGATGTGACAGGAGAAGCTGAGAGCACTCAAGCAGGCCGATCACTCACAACAGGAGCTGGAGCCATACAGCTGAGAAGCTTGGATTAAATGGACTGAGAGCTGATGGAGAAGTGACAAGAAACAGTCCTGGAAATCTCATGAACTCATTTAAAACTTCTAAAAAAAAAAAAAAAAAACGATACAGAACCTACAATTATATTTTACATTTGTATCCTAGTATGTCAAAAACAGAAAGATAAGAAACAAATAAGTATCAGTTCATGTATGTTCTTCATTAAACCCAATGGATTGTAATAAAAAATTA